CCATTTTGAATTTTCACCTCACTCCTAAATACTTATTGGAATTTTCTGACCTCTAGATGTATATATTTTGTAACTCACCAAACTAATAGGCTATATGACATTGGATAATCAATCTCTCTGACTCTTGGTTGACTCTTCTGTAATTAAAAGAGATTAGGTCAAAATTTTTAGAATAAAGAAATGTAGAAACTCAGGATGGCTTAGAGATCATCCTATTGGATATAGGAACATCTTCTAAAACATCCCAACAAGTGATTATTCAACCTTGGCTTGAACGAAAACAGAGTTAGGAGATTTAGTACCTTTAGGAGAGCCCATTCAAGTTGCAGATTGCTCTTAATGAGAAGTTTTTCCAAAAGTTGATCTAAGATTTTCCTAGATAATTTCCAGCTACAATTTTTTTCAAATGTGACATTCAAAATTGCTATGAAAATCTTCTCCATGTGCTACAATGACAATAGCCCCACCATCACTTTTATCACAATATGTTACTTGTAAGATACAAAAATTAAAATTGGCTTCTACTCAATTCCACCCCTATGTGACACTGACAAATCACTCACTATATGTGGGCCTTAATTTTTCTTCAACCTATAAAAAGAAGGGTTCAAATTTTGTCAAATGTCTCTTCTTACACTGACAATTTTTCCCTGACTATATTTTTGTCCTTAACTTAGTGGACCGTAACTTTATTTTCACTTACTTTCTAGAATGAGGTGTTGGGATTTCTTTAATAAAGAAATATCCTTTTCTTCTCTTTCTTGTTTCTCTTAATTCTTCTAATAGCTATGGATATATCTGTTTAAATTAGAATATATGAAATGGAATCTTAGTGAGATAACAATTTTAATAACTTGGAATTTATAGTTGCTTATCTACCAAAAAAAGATAGAATATGAGGATATTAACAGTTAGAAAGACTCATACAAGATATCTAGCCCAACCTCTCCCTAATGTAGAAATCCATAATAAAGAATCCCTGCTGTTTTGCCTTCCAGTCTCTGCTTAAGCTTTTCTAGTGAAAAGGTGCTCAGTGTTTTGCAGACTTAGCCTATGTGATATATAGCCCAGTACCTGGCCTATAGGAGGCACTCGAATGCTGTTCCAAAATCTGCTTCCCTGGAACCACCTATTGGTTCTGTTCTGATATCTTTAGCATGGCAGAATAGATACACCCCTTGATAATGAATGGCCTCATAACCATTTAAACACAGCTACCCAACTAACCTCCTCCCCACTCCCCAAAGCTTTGCTCCTTCAAGCTAAAAGGCTCACACTCCTTTGTTTTTTCCACATTCTTTACTATTCAGGTTCCTGCATACTGAATGAATTTTAGCTTGTTCACATCCTTCTTAAAATGTGAAGCCAAAAATACAAACAGAAATATAATATATAAAATATTTCAATTTACTCATTCTTTTGCACATATATTGAGCCTAATTCAGGAAGACTAGGGAGCCACTGCTTGAACTAAATATATTTATTGTACAATTCTCGTAGCACCAAAAAGCATTCCGTGCCTTTACATCTATAGCTCTCTAATTATCATATACATCGATGGAAGCCAGTGCTCTATCTTTCGAAATGGTGTCATGGATTCCAATTAAGTATTTTTTAGTGCCACCGTCAGCTAATATAGGGCCGGATGGTGTGTTGTCTATTTTTCATGTCCTTATATGAGCGAAAATATTATCAAGAGTCCCTCTCTGAGAATCTATGAAATAAAGTTCATCAGAAACAGAGTGTTAAGAACAAATATGGAACAAATTACTTACTATATTTGGGATTAGATCTGGGATGACTTGTCCACCTTGACTGTTTCGAGATGTTCTTGCTTCTTCAAAATCAGACCTATGTTTGTCTTTCTTTAATATATCATAATGAACATAGTTTTGTCAGATTTTCGCCACCAAGTGAAACTGAGTTGAGGCAAAAACCCAGGTTATTCAGACAAAATACCTTTTCAGCCTATGGAAGCCTTGATCACTATTAAAGACCAAAAACAAATATTGTTGTCATATTACATTAAATTGAGACTAAATTGTATCTACCCTCTACCATGATCACTAACTCACTGTATAAAAATAAAAATGAAGATTAAAAAAAAGAAACTAGGAGAGTTTTGCTACTGGAAATTGTTTGCCACCAATTTCAAGGACTTTTTTGATGAAAAAACCATACCATAGTAGGCCTGGTGCTGAATCAAAGACCCAGCAATTTCCAGGGCTCCAGAACTCATCCTGCCTTGGGTCAAAGCAGATCTGTGCTTATGCTAACAGCTTTCCTATTTACCTGCTTTTTCAAGACAAAAGGTCATGAAATGCGCAGAATCTGCTCCTCTTAGACTCAGAATAAGCTCTGGCATCTTGTTGTGAAGGCAGGAGGAGAAAAACGTAAATGCTTGATACTTTTGAGTTTGTGTTCACCATCTAATTTAAACACACATACAAACACACACACACACACACACACACACACACACACACACACACACACTTTTCCCCAAATACACAGTATTTCTACTCACTGTAAAGATTCTTCCCAAATCTAATTTAGTAGTTGTTCTTCCTGGGATTATAAGAATTCCATTTTTCCCTTGGCTCCTCAATCTTGGGTAATAGAGTATCTACTTTCCCTTCCAGCTTACCAGGAACATTCCCATTCACAAATCACTTATTTTTCTCTAACCAAGTTTTTGTCTCATTAAAGCATTTGCCATAAACTTCCGCCTTAAAACAGTGCTGTCATTATCTGAACAGGGAGGGAGGGGAGAAACCGGAGCCTAGATTTGCTTTTAATAGCCACATCTATACAATCTAAAGAAACTGGAGTGGTGTTCTTATAAAGTGATAGAGGCATAATGTTAACCAATGCTTTGTTACCAGAAAAAAATATACTGCATAGGAAAAGAAGTGAACAAGGAGTTAGAAAATATATTTTTTTGTCCTTTGGCTGTTAGCCAGCCTTGATTTCATGGGTAAATCATTCAGTCTTGCCAAGCCTTGATTTCCTCATCTATGAAAGGGAAAAATAATCTTTGTCATCTATGACTCACAGGATCATTGATTGATTACAAAACACTCTGGAAAATCCAAAAGGCTAGACAATGCCTCTGTTTTAAAAGCAATAGTTTTGTCTCCTAAATGATGCAGATTGGATAAAGCTCTGGCTCTGACACTTATCTTTGCCTCAGGTAACGTTTCCCCAACAAGCATATCGCATGAAAAAAAAAAAAAATGCCCAGTGCTACATTCGCAGAATCATAGAATTTAGACCTATAAGGACCTTCGGGATTCATCCCCTTATTGGAGAAATAAGAAATAAAAAATTAAATGTAACCTAAGCTCACACCACTGTGGTTTATATAACTATTATTAATCATTAGAACCCCAGGGCCAGGATTCCACCCAGCAGTACTCTTCTCAATGTTTTCTAGCCTCTCTGGGCTCACTTACCTAAAGACACCACCAGAAGCGAAAGGAGGATCGGAAGCTGAGGTCGCCTCTGGCGCGGCTGCTGTATTTGCTAAGTGTACTGGGCACGTAGGGTCGTCACACGATTCGTTACTACAATTTTAAACTCCAAATATCAAGAGATCTCTGTTCCTTCACCATTTCAGAGCCACAAAATACCATTTGGGGCGACCTTTTCCATGTAAGTGGAACTAAAGACCATTTATCAAACGATTCGAAACAGAAAAATTGGAGTGAGGGAAACGGGAATCTGTTAACGAAAGGTTATTAGCCAAGTTCATTTCCACCGGGAAGAGGAAACCGCCTAGCGCGGAGGGGAGGGGCGCGCGCGGGAGGACGCGGTAACAAACAATTCCCGGAAAGGCGTGATCGGTCCCAGTTTTGCCCCAGAGCCTTTTATTGTCTAAAGAGACCGCAAACCCAGTGAGAGAACAAGAGACCTCGGGATGGAAAAGGAGAGGGGTAACGCGCAACGCCAGTCAGACCCCGCCCCCCGCCCCCCGCCTCATCTAGTCCCCAAACAGGTGCACGCCCGGAAACCCCGTTCCGCTAAAACTCCACATTCCCTCAAATGCGCTGAGAATGAGCGTTTCCACACACAACCCGAGGAAAACTCACTTTTTAAATATCTGTAGCCCGTGGGACGTGGAAGAGTTTCGGGACAAGAGTGCAACAAGTTCGGGAAGCAGAAATTGCCCTGGGGGTTTCCTCTGCCCTGGTTGCCCGCCGCGCACTGGCCCCGCTTGGCACCCGGGAGGGAGCGCGTAAAGGGCGCCCGCGCCTGCGGGCCCCGAGCTCAGGAAGGGTGCCAGGGTGCAGAACCGCGAGCCCCGGATGAGGACACAGATGGGAGGAGATGGAAGTGCCGCCCAGAAACGAGGGAGTCGCCTTAGTGCTCGAGTCAGAGATGAGGCGTGGGGAGTGGGGCACGGAAGCGAGCGGGAGGTTAGTGACCAGCAGCGCACGAGTCTGTCCTGGCCCCGGGCGTTCGGAAGATCACGCCACGGCTCTGCCCGGATCCCTGCAGAGCGCGGAAGCCCCCAGACACCTGGTCCCTTGCCTGCAGCCAATCCGACTGCCCAAGGAAGGGCAAAAGGTCCGCGTGGAGAGGCCGCGGAATCCGAATAACGGAGCTGGGGGCAAGTGGCTGAGACATGAGAGAGGAGCGGGTCTGTGATCGCGGCGGAGAAAAATGTCCCCCACCGAATACAGAGCCGAGAGCCCAATTTTCAGTTCGGAATGCGGTGCTGGGCTGGTCCCCACCGCTGGCCATGCCGGACTTGGGAACGAGCGAACCTAGGCGCACACGCTCCCTTGGCAGGGGCAGGGCGGCCGGGAGGGGACGGCGTGAGGCCGAGCCGCGGGCCGCGCTGGCTCCGCACCGCCGGAGGTTGACAGTGGGTTTTGTCTCCCAGGAGCTGGTCTCCGAGGCCCTCCGCAAGGCTGGAGTCTGAGTCTTCCCGTCCGGGAGAGAACCGCGCCGGCCCCGCGGTCTCCTCTCCCGCCGACCCTCCCCAGCCTGGCGGCTCAGAGCACGTGCGGCCCGGAGCCGAGCTCCCCCTCGTCCCCGATGTCCACCTCGTCCTCTGGCTCGGTTAGCACGAAGGGCCCGGCGGGCAGGCTCAGCCGAGCCTCGGCAGCAGCGGCCTCTGGGCCGCAGGGGCTGCCCTCGGGGCTCTCGGGCCCGTCTGGTGCTTTAGGCTCGTCTTGACTTTTCCGCAGCTGCTTTTTATGCTTCATCCGCCGGTTCTGGAACCACGTTTTCACCTGATTTCGGGGAGACAAAAATAAAATCGTGTCATTCCTCCAGATCTGAGCGATTGCTGGGCTTTAGCGAAATGGGCCGCAATCCACTGACGAATTACCAAAGAGCTGTGACAGCCTCAACTGCTTAAAAATACGTGGCATGAGAATCAAATATCCCAGGGCTCCCAGGGATGTCCCAAAATAATGATGAGGATCAAAATGGTGTGGTTAGTAATTGCCAATACTGTCATTAATTAGAATTACGAATAGTAAGTGCTGCGTGGACGAGCCTCCTTTATGCTCAATTTACGTTCCTCTGTTGAGATATCTAAGTACCTGATCCAGCAAGACTCCTGGACAGAAAGATGAGAATTGAACTTGCTGGTTCTCCTCGGAGAAAAAAATATATCAGACCCAGACCTGGCAAAGCTAACGATTTCACAGCAAATCACCTTTCCGGGTACAGAGAACACGAGGGAGGAGGCGTGGAGGAAAGGGTTTTGAGGTTGCAGGTGAACAGCGCCTGAAGGAAGACGAAAACAGTTCTTCCACTCAGGACAGGGGCATAGGGAGGGCACTTAAACTACACTGTACAGGGGGTGGGGCGGAGGTGCATTCGAAGATTTGCTTCCGTGAGATTGAAATAAGAAAAAAAAAAATCTCCCGTGTGGGCTTCTCTCAGGACAAGAGCCCATCGAATTATTATCATTTTACCTCTGACTCGGTTAGGTCCTTGGCCTGTGGGGAGTAAGGAAGGCATGGAAATAAGTTCCTGACTGGAGGTGACCATCAGAATCTCCGGAGGAGTTTTTCCTTCATGTCCAGAGCCCCGCTCCATTAATTCTGCTTGAGTAAGTCTGACGTGAGGTTGGGGTGTCGGTACTTTTACTAAAGATCTTGGGGGAAGCCTAGAATAAGGGGGAGCATGGTCATTGCTACTGGAAAAACTCCTCAGTGGGTCCGGAGGGTATTAGAAGTTGAAGGGAGGGAAGAAGGAAGCAGAGACCAGGGCTGCCCTCTCCTTCCGCGCACCTGCGTCTCGGACAGGCTGAGGGCCGTGGCCAGCTCCACCCGCTCCGGCGTGGACAGGTAGCGCTGGATCTCGAACCTCTTCTCCAGGCCCGAGAGCTGCGAGTCAGAGAAAACCGTGCGAGCTTTGCGGCGGCGGCAGTGCTTCCCCGGCAGCTCCGCGTGCTGCGGGTGCGGGAACAGCGCGGGGACCGGCATTCCTGCAGAGAGAAGAGCAACCAGGTGGGCAGATCCCGCATCGCCGGGGAACAACCTCGGCCCCGCTCCCCTCCACTGGTACCCAGCGCCTCCCTCCGCCTCTTGCCTCCACCGGTCTCCTGCTCGCCCCAAAGTCCCTCAAGCCCTTCTCCCAGGAATCCCAGGACAGGGGGTGGAAAAGCAGCAAGTACGGCGCTTGGAGATCTTTATCTGGAAGGCCATCTAGAAATACAAACAATAAACGGTAAATAAAACGGAAAGAAAATTGGAAAATAGATCCGAGGGCCTTTTAAAATGTCTTCTTGGCGAGGCTTCCGTAGGATCTGTTGTGCCTGGAGAAGTTTTCTTGCAAATGTCAGACGTTCCAGGAGCTGTCCTCCCCCCACCCCCAGCTGTATCCTCCCAGCCCCTTGACGAAACTCAGTGATGTTCCGGGGCTAGTAGAAGAGCAGATATCTTGCCTCCCAACAGCACTAAGAAAACACTTTTTTTTCCTCGAGCTACCCAGCCCGCCTGCAGCCAAAAGGAACAGAGCGAAATTCTCCTATCCAGAGAAGCTGCAGAGCGAGGACAGAGGAGCAATTCCCACCTCTCACGTCTCCTCGTCAGGTTCCAGGCCACTCTGGGGACTCGCTCTCTAATGTGGTCCTCGTTCTTTTTCTCATTCTTTCCCTCCGACTCCAAGCCCAGCAAAGCAGAAGGGCTGAAGCGGTCTTCCCTGGCCAGGTCGGGGGAAACTTCCCATCTTTCCTGATTCTCGCAGGCTTTATTCGGTGTCTGAGACACACCAAGCACACAGAAGCTGGCACACGCAGTATCTGCCAATTCCAGCGGGGAAACACACACACATACGTTCCGGTAAAACCGGCTTTGGCCACTACTATGTGAAGGGAGCACCGCTGCAGCCGAGAATATCCTGCCTCCAGTGGGGCGGTGAAGCCGGCTTCATAACTGCCTCATCCAACTCAGTGTCTCAGAGTCTGGGTTTCACTGCTTCACCAACACTCTTAGCTTTTGTTCTGGATTCCAGCGCCCACACTTCACGAGCTGCCTCCTGTCTTCCTCCAGCCCCTGCCCTGACCAGGGTTGTTTCCACCTGCACTTCGAATCAGAACTCAAGGAATGATTCTATACTGTCTGGAATGAAAGTGCTGGAGAAAAAAGTGTGCATGTGGCTTTTTGGAGGGAGGCAAAAAGGAATCTAGTTATTCCTCCACATCTCTCTGCCCCAACCAGACTTTGCTAGTCCCGGCTTTTTGCCAGGCCAGAGAAATCAAAATACTTTAGCGCACAGCTCTAGCGACTCTGGCAACTGGGGCAGAGAAGGGAAGCCCCACCTAAGATTGTGAGTTAAATGCTAGATGTTGGCGGTGAAGAGAGTTAAAAAGCTGTGTTCCTCCCTCCTCTTTCTTACCCTTTCTCTCTTATTCCGGCCAGCCCAAACCTTTCCTCCTCAGAGAACCCCAACCCTGGTTCACTTCTGTGCCTCCAGCAGGGTCTGCAAATGCTCAACACCTGGACGAGGACAGCTGAACTGACAGGGGCATTTCAAGCTTCTTAGCTCAAAAGTTGAGTTCCATTCCATGGGGCAGGATGGTCAAGGGTCTCCTTCTGAGCAGGGAGAGGGAGAAGAATGCAAATTGAGAGATGGACCAAAGTGGCCAGGAAGATCACGAGTAGGGAGACTAAGCACTGCCCCCCAAGACTATTGTCAGACTCATTCGCCTGCAGGTACCTCTTGGCCAGGCACATCTCCTCCGTTAGAAAAAGTGCAGAGGGATCATGAGTTATCCCTGTGGGTTGGCATGCCTCAAGGGAGCTCCGTGTGCTCTCAGATACATCCCCAACCTTCCACTGTCACTTAGGCAAGGAGGCCACCAAGCCAGGCCGAGCCAGCTCTGGCCTTTTCTTGGCTCCATCACAGGACTGGGACCTGCACTGGAAAACCTAGTCTCTCACTGCCCACACCATGAGGCCCCTGTCACTTACCCGAGGTGGTGAGGAAATAAGGGTGATGGTGGTCTCCCTTATGCAGAGGGTGGTGGGCATGAGGAGCCAGGAGTGTGGGTGTGGGCATGAGGGGGTAGCCATAGTCTAGGAGAGGCACCCGAGAGGCTAGAGAGCTGGCAAAATGGTCGGGGGCCACCTCCCTCAGCGGCTTGGGCTTGTGCAGCAGGATGTCCTCGATGAAGAAGGATGTGGGCCTCTGGGAAGACGCCGGGTGTAGAGGAGAGGTGAAGTTGAGATTCATCTTGAGCGGAGCACCTGCCACAGGGCGAAGGCGGTGGAGGAAGTGTAGGAAGCAGGCAGCGTCTCAGCAAGCCTGGTGGAAAGCCGGCAACCACCCTGCGAAGCTGGAATCTCTGCTGCTCTCTCCTCGGCCTGGTCTACCCCGGGCGCTGGAGAGGCAAGAAGACAAGCTCCTGGGTAGGTTGGGTCTATGTGTCGGAGAATTGGCAGCTTGGAGAGGGGACCCGGGAGAGCCAATGACGAGGCTGCCAGCGGCAAAGGGGAGGGCGCGGTGGGCGCGGGGCGGGGCACGGAGCTGTCCGCGGTGCTGAATACTCCCGGCCAAGCCTGCGGAGAGCAAAGCCGACAGGCTTCTTGCTCCTACCAGGTTTCCCGACCTTAATTTCTGCTCCGACACTGCAAGAGCTGCTGCTTCCCAGTCGTTTTTAAAAAAAGTTAAAAGTAAAAAGTCTCCGTTGTCCGATAAACTCCTCTTTAGAGAGGAGAAGGCACTAAAAGGGCCCAAACCCACAGGGATAAAACACTTATTCAGGCATTTAGGCCTGGATTTTAAGAGTTTCCATAATTGATAGCAAAAGGAGAAGGGAAGTAATGAGAAGAAAGAGCATCCACTACTTTAAATTGCTAGACTCAAATTGATGGCTGCGGGCTGACTGGATTATTGAGGTAAATAAAGAAAATGATGATGATGATGGTGATGATCATGATCATAACATTCTTTACCTCAGTTATAGGGAGTAGGCAGGAATAGGGTTACAGCTACATTAGTCAAGTTATTTGGTCTGTGTAAATATGTCCAAAGCCACCTCTTGGTGTCATCCGCCATGTCCCTTCAAATTTCCATTACTTTTTCCTCACTTCACTCACATAGTTTGGTTTTTCTGCTATATTATTTTTTAAAGCCCAGCTCCTCAAAATTGTACTAGGTTTTTGTTTCCCCTTCCTTTTTCCATTCTCATTCCTTTCATTTTCCTCCCTCTCAATCTTTTGTTTTTTCTGTTTGTCTTTTTCTAATCTGTCACATTTTTTTCCCCGGAGTCAATTTGCTAAAATTAAAGTGATCATCTACAACACAGCAGGGGTAATTTCAGCTCGCATCTCCGAAAATTACTCTAATTATTGATGTTAAACTCGGGGAAATTAAAAGAAGCCACTTCTCTTCCATCTCCCCATTTTTAAGCTCTAATTTGTTGAAATCTAGTCGTCATCACAATTCCAATCACTACCGCTAATAGTAAAAGTGTTTTAATAGAGACTGAGTCCTCACAACCCATGCTATTAGATAATTAGAGGAGGTGTTAGAAAGCCAAGTGCTAATCCTTGGGCACATGAGTAGGATTTCCATCTGATCTAGCAGGTAGAACAAATTAATTACCAGAATCAATTAGGCCCCAAACTACAGTGCTCCTGGAAGTAGGAACATTCTATTCCATACGGATGGACTGGTCAATGGTAAGTAAATGAGAGGAAGGAGGAAGGGAGGTGGGGGAGAGAGACTTTAAAATAAGATCTTGGCAAGTAGGTGTCTAAATGAAGTCAGAACGCTTTGTCCTGAAGTCTGAAATGTGATTTAAAATATATATATATATTGTGTGTGTATATATATAGTAGTAAGAACGGAGGACCTGAGAGCAGGCAGCTATGGAGAGAAAGACTCTAAACTTTCCAGAAGTCCCTCCCTATCCCTAAGCCCTGGTCCATCATCTCCCGTAGGGCTAAGGGGAGACAGAGGAGGCTTGGTGAAGAGGCACTGCGAGTGACAGTCCACATTTTACCGGCTTCTACTTCCCTTCCATGATGAGCTTACTGTATCTGACCGGTGGAAATCAAGCCGTCCTGTCTCCCAATGCCATAAAGGCTGAATGGCCATTGAGGGCCGGGCGGGTGAACAACCAGACCTTTGGCTGTGCCCGCGCGCGCCCTACGCCCCATCCCTACAGAGAGCACGGATTTGCACCCAGCCTCAGGGGCGGGATTTCAGCTGCATTCTGAGGCGGGGGCTCACTTCTGCCGCAGACGTGGAAATGAACAGATTACTGAATGAGAGCAGGGGCGGTACAAACGTCTTCAGGTGACGGTTACCTTTGAGCCAAGGCTCTGCCACCCGTCCCTCGGAACTCAGCCTTACGCTCCCCTCAGAACGTTTGAGGGATCGGAGGAGGGGAGGGGCAGACCCGCCTGCTCAGTTCGTATACCCCCTGTTTCGTGTACCCTGGGCTCAGCGTGCTGCTCTCCGCAAAGCTCAGGCAGTCTCCCCAGGCCCGGCGTCCTGGCCGAGAAGCCCTGGTCTGTGCTTTCACGCGGCCCTTTTCCTGGTTCAGCTCCCGCCGGGACTGGCCTTCCCGAGAGCCCAGCGCTGCGGAGCGAGAGAGGCGAAGGCGTTTCCCTCGGAAGTCCAGCCGCCCCGCCTTCGCCTGGGCCCCAGTAGGAACCGAAGAAATGCGAGACGGAGGGAGGAAACTGGATCGCTTCAGGAAGGGGCAGGACCTCGATGACCGAACGCGGTTTTTTTTTCTTTTCTTTTCTTTTAGCAACGCTGGCAAACAAAGCTCCGTGGCCGACAGAATACCACGGGGCGCCAGGACCGACGCAGGCTCCCGGGGGTTCGGAGGCGGAAATAGGGCATCCGAAGTGGAAGCGCAGACAGGGATTTTCGGAGAGACCCTCTTCTCCCAGGGCGCCCAGATAGACCGCAGCTGGGACGTGCCACGGACCGCCTGTGCGGCCTGAGCCCACGCCCGAATGGCCGGGCTGTGCAGACAAGTCTTGTCCTCAAAGGTTCCGATCCTGTCTGGGCCTCAACATCCTTTTAGAACCATGTCCCAAACGCTCGGGCAAATCCCAAATCCGGGAAAGCAGGAAAGTTTCTCTACAGTGCGAGGCTCCCGAGCAGAACTGGTGGTGGGGAGGCGGGGGGAAGGGATCGCTAGGGTCACTACAATCAGCAGGCACTTTTCGCTCAAAACCCTGGCCTGGCCCATCTTACAATGCTTTCGCGGTGGGGTTAAGGGTTAAGCCCCTCTGGAGAGTCAATCCTCGGCATGTCCTGGAAGAGGCATGGCAGAGCCAGCAGCCCACACTTAGCAGCGTCTTCCCTGCCTCCCCGAGCCCCACCTCCCTCGCCGGCCCCAGGGCAGCCCAGGTAGGGAGTATTTTTAGACAGTCTGTAAAGATTGTCGACGACAAGGACACAATTTTCTCTTTTAAAGCAGAGATGTTTCATTGCCTGGGTTATCTCTAAAGTCCAGACCAGCGTTGTCCAATAAATATATAATGCTAGCCACGCAGATAATTTTAAATTTTCCATTGGTCATATTTTTAAAAAGCAGGAAGTTACATTTTAAAAGTATGAAAAAGCAGGTGAAATATTAACATATTTTATTTAACCCTAATATATCAAAATATTATTATTAAACATATATATATATTTTAAAACAGAGTCTCACTCTGTCGCCCAGGCTAGAGTGTAGTGGTGTCATCATAGCTCACTACAGCCTCAAATTCCTGGGCTGGGGCAATTCTCCTACCCCAGCCTCCCTAGTAGCTGGGACTACAGGAGTGAGCCACTACGCCTGGCTAATTTTTCTCTATTTTTTTGTGGAAATGGGGTCTAGCTCTTGCTGAGGCTGGTCATAAGCAATACTCCCACCTTGGCCTTCCAGAGTGCTAGGATTACAGACGTGAGCCACCCCACCTGACCCAATATAAATATTAATGAGATTTTTTGCATTCTCTTTTCATTCTAAATCTTCAAAATCCCATGTGTATTTTATACTTACCACACATCTCAATTCAGACTAGCCATATTTCATGTGTTCAGTAGCCACATATGGCTAGTGGCTATTGTACTGCACAGCACATGTGTAGTTAATTGAATAGTCCCTATTACCTCTGTTCAATGTTAGATAGGTACACACAATGTGAAAACCAGTTGTTGAAACCAGCCTAGCACATTCTCAATGCTTGCCCTTCATGCATCCATTATATTCAATTATTTTCAGCATTTGTTGAGCACCTACTATATGTTAAGACTTCTTTCCACACACCTTCCCAAGCTTTCCCCAAGTCTTAGGAGATTAAATAAATGCAACTAAATTATATTTACTTTTGATTCTTATTGGATGAAAATCTGTCACTCAGGGCCAGCAGGCTTTATCTGTCTGCAAGGCTGACACAGAAAGCCAGATCCTGCAAATTGCACAGAGTAAAGAAATAAAGATCAAATGAATCCCCCTCAACCCAAAAGCACTCTTGTTTGTGGTTTCAGCTGAAGAATTATTAATTTAAAGAGAGAAAAAACATGCTGTTGAGAGAGGTAATAATTAAACAATCCCTCTCTCTTTCATGTCAGCCTCAGCTAAAGGTGTCATCTGAACTGGGACTTAGTTTCCCAAAAAGATAACTCTATTGATGATCAAAGGGAGAGACTGGTTCCATTAGCCAAGTTGCCTATACTGTGGCCTTCAAAATAAAGGGAGAAATGTATTTTAGAAGTATCTGAGTAACACACTTTACCCATACATTTTGTATTATATTGCTTGTTGTCTGTTTCAACTTACCTTCTATCTGAGTACTTTATTTTAAGCACTACCAAAGTGGATGACATGTCTACAAAAAGAAAGGGAGTTGATGGCTGCTTCTGGCAAATGCATCTTCAAAAATGATGTTTTTGCACTGGAAATTAGGGTGTGATCCAAATATGGATGAGAACACATTTAAGGATGTGATATTCAAATCACAGTGTTCCTAATACAAGGAAAGCTAAACCATCCAATTTATTCCTACAGGTCTAGGTCTGTCTATAAGGTCAAAACTTTCATTTCATTTTTCTCTTGAAGTTCCCTGTGCTGCCTTTGGCATCTCAATTCTAAGCATGTTTCATAAAGTGATAGAGAGAAAGGTAGACCTGGATCAGGGAACTAAAGGTTTGAAATATGAGAAATTTTATGCTATTTCTCAATCCTCTAAAAGATACATGGTAGGATGAGAATGACATTTACT